TCTATCCAAAATAACCACCAACCAATACCTCATGACTACCACGAATATTACCTTATTAAATCGATCAGATTAAGATTTCTTCCTTCCCTATGCACGCATAAGAGAGACGTAAGACGAGACGCTATAACGCAACCTCTCAATATCAAATTAAAGATAATTCTAGAAAGTTCTATTAAAAATAACGCACTTCATTTAAACGCCACTGAATATTAATTTTAAACGAATCTCGGGCCTAAGAGCTACGAATAAAATCCCGGACCTCCAAGATTCTGAATACCATCAAGAAGATTCTACGAGATACGACATCTAAAGACCTTTAAATATCTTCGAGAGATCGCGTAGATATCATATATAAAATAGAACTCAATATATATGCCGTGATAGATATGCCTGCGCGATCAGCCAACATCATCTAATAATTTTCACGATCTTTCACGAGAATATTCCAAGACGCGCCGTATCCCGTAGAGCTCTCTAGATCTCTACGGGATACGATTGATAATATATAAAGGAGGAGACTCAAACGCGCGTTGCACGTATCACGCGGCAGATAACTAGCACTACACCGCGCAGACATGCAAAGTACAACTTGGGGCAAGCACACGCACACACACACACAACAACACGCACGACACAACACACACACACACGCATCACACGCAACACACACACAACACACACACAACACACACACACACACACGCACACACAACACACACACAACGCACACACAACGCACAACGCGCACACACACACACACACACACACACACCCACACACGCACATACACACCATACACAGCACACGGCACACAACACACAGCACACCCAACACCACGCACAACGCAACACACAACACGCGCACTGCAAACACAACACCGCACACATTCCTCTGGAAGGCTCTAGAGGCCTCGTAATCAATAACATAACGGACCATACGGTATTGTTCCCATACGGTATTCAGATGATCGGTAATATTCGGGAAATTCAATCAGACTTTATTTCTGCTCAGATTTTACAAAAACTCTTTATTTGTCTCTCTACATGATAACTTGTATATTAGTATTTCAGTTTTGGCCTATCATGTTGCTACTCGCCCTCCAGTAGCATATCCTTCTTGCACATCGCATAAAAGTTTCGGCAAATAACAACCTCATGTCTAGAATACTAGCTTCATGTCTGCGATCTGAACCAGAGCGATTTAGAAGACGGTTCGATTTCTCCCTTCGTTTCACCACAAAAAACCTTTTTAGCCATTTCTGTATATTCTTGTCATACAGAGATTGAATATCAATGATTCAATTTCTGGTGCACCGGTAAGGTGGTGGACGCAGTCGACTGGAAATTATTCTGAACATGTATTTCCACTGATGTACCTTGCTTCAGGTGGCTCGTGTGCAATGCCCTTGTGGCCTTCGCCTTGTACATGAAGAAATGAAACGATCCGTCTTGGATCCCAGAAATAAATCGATCAGTCTTATAAAAAGCTTCGCAATGCTGTCATGCTGCCCATAAGCTGTCAGCTCATTTGAACCACCTGGAGCAGCAAAGAATGGTGATGTCTTCCACATCTGAAATCGCACCAAGGTCCAGGCTGGGAGACCTTGTCCACACAGTCTTTTGACAGTGTTCCGACCTCTGCAGACCAGGTCTGTTGATCAGATCTCAGCTGTTGCAGAGTCTTTCTTTGAAGCACGGCCTGCTTGTTGGAAAGGAAGGTCTTTTGCAGAACCTGTGCAGGAAGACAGACCCGCTGCAGAGCTTTTCGGTCACCTTCGTGTCTCCGAGTGCCACACCCAGGCAGACATAAGAACGATGGCCAAATAAGCATAGAAGAACCTTAGTTTCTGACTCTCCGAGCGCTTCTTCAACAGCTGTCGGCTACCGGATTCTTGTTGAGCACAGCAAACCAGCTCGCTTTTGCATCTCTTTGGGCTGCGGCTGTGGACCAACCAATGCCATCATTGTGCCACCAAAGAGTTTGGTGGCGATGACCTCTCGGGACATGTGTATACGGCAGCGAGCCTTGAGCAAAGAGTGTGAAGCCGTAAGCGCGGCCTTCTTGTAAAAGACCTGCCCAAGTGGTCCGTGAACCACCTCGGCGTGGCCAACAAGCAGGGGACGGCAAGATGCATTACTTGCAGCCTCAACTGAGCCGTCGACGAAGATAGGAAATGCAAGATTACCCAGCGTCACCAGTGGTTTGCTCGATAACGCCTTGACCTGATCAGGGAGGCTCTCGGCTTTCTGTTGATACTTCACTGTCGTATTCTTGCGACGTGTTGTCACGATTAGTAAGCAGCTAGCAATGCCGTCTGTCACGTTGGGTACGACCTCAATCGTGTGTCAACACGCGAGCAAGGCATTTTCATGTTCATATTGCTCCAGCATGCCTCAAACGTCAGTCAAGCGGTCTACGGCCAGACATGCTGAGCTTCTGCGTTCCGCGCTACCCGAAAAACTGTGGCGAGGGAGGAGCTCATCCAGTCGCCGAAGGAACACCGAGTAGCTGGCGCTGGCCCGGTGTGCACTCATGAGGAAATACAGGAACAATGGTATAAATATCACTGCCTCAGTTGGTCAAGCTGGACTAAGCTTAGGACAAGGACGCAAAAGGCCTCGTGTTTTGTGCGCGAAACCGTGATTGCGCACTCACTCTCGCAAGGCTGCCGACTCTGGTCAGGAGGTCACTCAGTTGTAGAACCTCGCGGTCTCGGACACACTGTTTACATCATCTCCATGGCCTCACATGGCCTCACGGCCTGTGAAACCATGTGAGCTTGCTGACCCTCTTGACCAGTCTGCGGCTCAGCGCCAGGCACCGAGTGCTCGCAAAACGATCACCGCGACCTCGGAAGCTGTTTTTTTCTCCACTTCACGCAACTCTGAAATTAACAGGCAAATGCAGGCAAACCTTCCACTACCGAAGGCTTCAAGCGCTTTCTCCGTGGCACCAGCAGAACTATGGGTACATTCGTAAGGCACAGGTCAAGCATAGGTTGTGTACAGAAAACACTCACTGAAGTAGATCACAGCACCAAAGAAGCCGTGCATCAAATTAGACGGTATACTGCAAGCATGGCACAGCCAGCAACCTTCACGGTGTTCCGGTGAGGAGGTTGACTAGTACGAGTGTGTCACAGCATGCAGAATCGCCGTGCGTGTCATGCCCGCATAGTTCACCTTTAATTAATTGGCTGTTGCATTCATCAGCTAGACGCCTGCTCAGAAAGCTCGCCCGTCAAATCCACTTCGATCATCCCAGAGCCTCTCAGGGCGACCGGCGCGGATGGTACACTTCGACCCTCAACTATCCACAGTCCTTTCGACACACAGCGAAACAAGTCGGCTTGCCCAACTCACTCGTCAAGACATCACCGCAGGACGAAGGGCCTGAAATCGCTGAAGATGACCTGAAGCTAGAGGGTCGAGCACGTGAATTTCGTAAGCTCCGCTGGAAGGCTGCCAAGTACAAACGTGCCCTTACCACTTGCTTCCGAAGTGCCGTCTGGAACTGATGAGGCTCGCAGCCTCGACGGCCTTTTGCTGGAGCTGCTGCATTTTGCCTAGGGAACGTTGGTGTGGAGGATTCAGTTGCAAGCTTCGCCCGCCATGTACTGTCAAATTCTAGCGATCCCATCCGAGAGACGGAGCTCGAGCTTCAAGCTCTCCCTTTCCTTCACAAGATCTCGCCGAGCATGCTGCTCCTCTTCAATTGAGGAACGGAGTGATATCTCACCTGGATGCAGGGATTCCACAGGAGGGTCTCGAAAGTCGGGTGTCCTACCCGTCACCACCCCAGGCCTTGCTCTCGCTGTCGCAGTGCCTTCTGCAAATGCTGCTTGTCCATCTCGAGTTGTTTGCAAAGGTCTTCCACGTGATGGAACTCAGCGCCTGGATACGTGAAATGAAACGATCAAACGAGGACAAGGATCCTGCAGCCTGCATGCTCATGTCTGTAGCACCGCAACGGGCGAATTCCAGCATCAGTCGGTGATTGTCATGCCAGCCCTTCCTTCTAGCAACATGCCGCTGCTGCAGCATGTCTCTACATGCAACAATATCACGCGGCATCATTGCCGCCGTCTCAAGACTTATCAATATTTTTTTCTTCTGCCGAGGTGCCGAACTTGATTCTGAGCTGCTCCATTTCCTGTCGGACCTGTTGGCTGGTCCTGCCAAGCTCCTCGCTTCTTTGCCTTTCCTCTTGAAGGACAGTTCTCAAAGAGGCCTCGCCTGCCAGCGTCAAGTGCTTACTTAGACCAGCTTTCGGTGAAGCAGCAGACACAACTACCTTTTGAGTCAGTGAGTTCGCTGCAGGCACCAGGCATCCCCAAGGCAAACGGGAGCTACGAGAACAAAACTGCCAGGGATTGCCATTTCAATGTTTCCGTAATCTGACACCAATATTACGATTATCAGGTTAACATTCTTGCTTTCAGAGTCTGGTCGGTGCCGGTGGTGGTCACCAACAGACATGATGCTCAAGCGGCGCCTTGTTCGCGTTCAGCCAATGCCTTTTTCAGGTGAGCATTGTCTTCTTGAAGCTCGCTGCAGAGGTCTTGCATCTGATCAGGCGAGCAAGCTGCCAGGGGTCTGGAGCATGTCTGCGGCATACTTTATTCCAGCAAGCTGTATTAAGGAACCCAATACTGTACCTGACAACTCATCTGATTACGGGGTTTACAAGGGCAGCTGGCAACAAAGGCCTGACCGAGCCGCTTTCTCAAATCTGCCAGCTCGAGCTGCAGATCCTCTTTATGCCGGCGCAGTGTTTCTGCCTCGTCGTGCTCTTTGCGAAGGCCCTGGCTCCGCGAGGGCGATGCAGAGTCACTCCTGGCCTGCTTCATGCAGGGCAGAACGTGCCACAGAGGCGTCAATGGCACGGCAGCAACGAAGGGAGTTCCATACCGAATGGTCTTCTCAGGCGAGACATCTTCCACAGCGGAGACGGAGCGTCGTCCCACACCACTTGGAGTTCGGGTAGAGCAAGTACTTGCAGCCCGAATCCGGGCTGTGGTGTCTGCAGCGGCGGCCAGTGCGACAGCCTCCAGTGACCTGGGTGTGATGTCAGTCGGTCTGCCTAGCTGTGGTGCCCTGGGAGGCTGCCAGGCTTCTTCCAAACCACAGGCCACTTGAGGAGCCCATCGCTTGTAGCTCTCGTGCATCAGGGAGCGGGTGCTTAAAGCGAGTCCCCAGCTTGATCCTTTAGAGAGCTGAACTATAACACACTCCAGGGAGCAGGCATGTTGGTCTCACGGTGAGAACATGATCAGCGCTACCAGTGTCCAAGGCAGGGCACCATCGCCAGCAGTGGCAGTCCCGTGCTTGCGATGCTGGTCTTTGGTGCCTGCGCATGCGGTGCGTGATCTTGCTCTTGGCATGTCAACCATCTTTCATGGTGCTCGGTGTCAGGGCCTTTTCCTCGCCCTCTGCACCGTCTAGCATGACCTTGCGGAGTTCATCAGGGCGGAGACAACAACAGCACTCAGATTTCACCAGCTGCTTTCCTGCGCTGGTACAGTGGGGTCAAGAGGGGGGCGGTCGATGAAATGTACAAGGACGCACCCATAGCAATGTTGGCTCAAACTGCTAATCACAGACTGGTCCGACTCTGGCATGCTCGAATGGTGATGGGCTGGCTTTACGTGACACTGCTCAGCTACTTCCCCCACTTCTTTCAGGGGTTGAAGGCTAGGTGTTTCGCACCAAAGTCACCAAATAGCCTCAACACCCCCCCCTCACCGACTGCCAGTTTCGTCTGACGATGGGACATACAGAGTGAGTCGCATCACATACACAATAGCCCACAACGAAGCAAGTTGGGACTCGTCGGCGAAACAGCAGGCCCTAGCACCTCGCTCTGCCTTCACGTATCCGTCTGCTAAAGGAATCAGGGATTGGGATTCCGGTCCCAGCTTCCAGGGTTGAGGATTTCGATCTTAAAGCCACTCCTTTCCGACTGTTCTTGAGCACTTACAACGGCTTTGAAGCTGTCTTTGTAGACGACTACACTAGTCACCAGCGATACAAACAGGCGGATGCAGAGACATGACCACCTTCGCAAGAGATTTTCAGCTCACAACCAATTGAATAATCGCATGAACGGGACATGTTTTCATGCGAAAAGAGCTGCTGGAATGCGGGCTGGTGCAGCGTTCAGCTTGAGCGCAGAACTCGAAAGCACCCCCCTGACCCCACTTCTACTTGTCAGGACCGTGCAAGGCGGCAGGCAACCGCTCCAAGCAAGACCTTTGCATCAGTTGCCCTTGCCAGAACGCTCGTCGCACTTTTCAGCGGTTCCACCTCGATGGCAGCGAAGAACGGGTTGAAGCGCTGCCTGAAGCAATCGAGCTTGCATGTCAGGGACAGAGCGAGAATTCCTTCGAAGCTGTTTCAAGCATCCCAAACATCCCCGCATATGGGGTGCTGGCATGTTGAACATGGCTAGATTTGGGAGAGCCTCGAAGCATGTGCAATAGCATATAGTTGAACACATGCAGAATTCCCCAATGTCAAGAACAAGCTTCACGTCCTGGCCTTCGGAGCCATAGCTCCTTCAAGCAATCCCCAAGCCTGCAAGCCACAGATTGATCAGCCGAATGGAGTCTGAAATGTGCTCGAACTCATTGTGTCAAGGACACAGGCCTGATGATCATAGCAGTAGCCCAACCTCAGCCAGTCAAAGCGTCAAGCACTGTGACAAGGTACGGCAGCTTGAACAAGGCATGTCCACAGCCGGGGGTACCAGCAAGTAACTTTACCTGAGACAGAGACTTCGGCAACAGGCCGATTAAGAAGATGAACAATCCGGTGCCTGGTACCAGCCGTGTGATCCATCACTGCGGCAGGCCTATACACACGAGTGCGAACTGCAACGAGGAAGCGGCGGCGAAGCTCGGCTTTGCTCTGCTTTGCCAGAATGGGCAAAGCGAAAGGCAACAGGGCCTTAGCAATGGGCATTGTCAGATGTGGTCTCTCTTCTCACAGCCCAGAATTGACGACTCGCGCAGGGCTTCTTCGGGGGCCAGGCCATTGCAAAAGTCAAAGCAGACAGAAACCATGTCGGAGCATTCCACACCTGCACCACACCACACCTCCACCACTCATGCAGTGTAAGCAACTCTCTCGCCTCGGCGTGCATGGGAAACCATGCTTGCAGCATTCCTGCTGAAAGGAAGCCGTGCCTGCCATGGCGCTCCTATTCCGTTAACAGAAGAGCAATGATGCTCTCTCTCTCTCTCTCTCTCTCTCGCTCTCTGGGCCAGCTCTTCCTAGCACGTCCAAGGCCGCTCATTTCTGGCATCGGGTGACTCGCCGAAGTCATCGTGCAACATGCTGAGATAGGCCATATGGCTGTAGGCCACCCGTTGAACGTCACATCTGCGTACAGGAAAACCGGCCTGGATCTCACGAGCTTCACTGGAGCATTCCCTGCTCACTAACAGAGGCCTGAACACCTGCAAAGATGTGCTCTTCGCTCCGAGTATGTCCGAGGCCACTGATCATGCTGTTGCACTCGTCTGAGACTCTGGCGAAAACAGCAGAAGGACCAGGAGGTGGAGTGGAAAGTAGCCAAAGACCTATGATGTCTCACAGTTGTGCCAAGTCACACCTGGAAGGTACTTGTAACAGGCCGCCAGGCAAAACGAAGCACCAACATTGCCAAGTTGTGATTGGGAGTCGTAAAACGTCCAGTTGTCGTCCCGGCATGGCCATGCACAAATTCACGGTTTAGGGCGGTGCGCGCTGGAGAATCCACTTCGGCGCAGGCCTGGGGCAAGCAGCGACTCTGGGTAGAGCAGATTTTGCTGCTCTCTGGAATTGTCGGCCGGCATCGGCTTCTACGTTGCACTCTCGGCATGCAAACTTTCTGGGCACGCGATGAGATCTGGTATGAGGACCAAGCCTGGCACTAATTTCAGCGACTCTTCGAGTCTCCAGCCAGTCGTGCACGTGTGGCGGCGCGTACCAGCACGCCAAGTGTCACGCCAGTAACGTCTATACATGTTGCGGCATGCCGCAACCAAGGGGAGAAGTCAGAATTACTTCTAAGTACATCCCCGCTAGACAACAGGAAACACAAATACACTACCTTCGTCCATGACATATGCAAAAGCTCCATGATTTAAAGTTGCTCCTGCAATGTCTTCGCCCGGGCCAAGCCAGCAGTACTGCTTGGCGCCTTGTTGCTCAAAGTATGGGCTCGTAACCTGCTGCAGCCTTTCCTTGGGAAGGGCTCCAACTTTGACTGAAAATGGCCTGCCAAACTGCATTAAGATGTCACTGCTGGCGCTCGTAGCCACATGCAACAGACAGACTTCATCACCCTTGCAGTATGCAAAGCCTCCATAGATCAGAAGTTGACCCAGAAGTTGAAGGTTCCGATCCCAAAGGCCGTCGCAACTTTGCAAGCGTCGTGAGTAGCTCACTTGAGAACCCTGGCATGGATATATCCAAAATGCACTCGTAGCCTCTTTCGGTACCAAGAGAATACTTTCGTATGTCCCATTGACCTCGTACCTGGGCGAGGTCTGTAACACCAGAGTCGAGCCGAAAATCTCCGACAACTTACCGGCATCACACTTGGAAGTCGCTGCGAGGTCCAACCACAGTGATAGCTCGTTGTGCGTGTCGACATATTGGAGGCTCTGGATGGTTGCCGTCAAGTTCGCGTGCAAAGGGAGCAGCCTCAATGTCGGACACGACTGCGGAAATTCGCCCGGGTCGTGATATGTCCGAGCAAATCGATCACTGATAACGCCCCAGTTCCCTTTTGTGTCAACAGTTTCGAAGGCAACCAACGTGGGCTCATTGCCTTCATTGTTGATTCGAGCCACAAAGTCGCAAAGTGGAGTCAATGTATTCAGCGATTTGTCCATAGCTTGCAGGGATGCCTTGATCAAATGTTCGGGCACGTCTCTTCCAGTCTGTTCAGCTCGATGTCGTATACGCTGGCGGATTGTTTGTTCGGAAGCTGTGATGTAGAAGATTGAGATTCTATAGTTGGGGTGTGTCTCACGGATTCTTCGAAAAGCCTTCTGGTAAAAGTCAGCATCTCTCAAGGAGCCGTCCACCCAAATGTTCTGCTGCTTCTCCATTGCCGCAGCTTGCGAAATCTCGACCATGAAGGAGGACTCCAGGTGACAAAGGGTGCCAGCCTTGTCCCGATCACGGGCCACGTAGTCGGGCCACTCAGGCATCATCATTTTGAAAGCATCAGGGTCAATGTGGACAATGTTCTCCAGAGGAAAAAAGCCATTCTGAGACATCCACGACAGGGTATAGCCCTGGGCCAGTGTTTGTCATGGTTCGACCATTTGCCACTACGACTCATGAGCGTGAAAGTAATTAAAACTGAAAAGTTGAGTTGTGGCCAAAGATCGAGAAGCACAACGTTTGGACTAATCGTCGGCTCCCCACATTAAAACGCCAACACCGATCCTCTTCAAATCGGACAGCATCTAACTCTAACGGACAGGTTCGGTGGAATCATAGTATTTCGAACACTGGGTGAAGCGGGGCGGCCCGTGACATTGGGTGTTGACAAGATCACGCAAAAAACCTGTTTGGAACATGCACTGAACTTTGCCTTCATTAACATTAATGCAGTGGCCCTGTGCACATGACTCAGGGGTTTGAGGAGTAGTATAGCCAGGGAGCCTTGCCAACACCCATGGGGCCACATGTATAGACCAACCACGGTGCTGGCTGTTCCACAGCTCTCGAAATCACACCCTTGATGGCCTCATCCTGCCAGGCTTGGCGCCTTCTGGTGTAGTTGACATGGTAGGAGTAATCGCACAGCTCACGGAATTTGGCAAAAGGCCCATAGAAGGTCGAGTGATTCTGCCCGTAATTCTCGCTGGTCGACGACATGAAGTCATAGTCGACGGGGGGTACGAAACCAGAGTCGCAGCCCAGCCCTTAATTGCACAAATGTTTCGCTTCTCTCTACATCCCGACAGTACAGCACCACACGGTAAACGGTGTTGTGTTGATTTACCAGGTATCTTTGGGCTTGTTCCCCAAACCGAGGGCGAGGGGATGCAGTCTCACGACAGCTGTAGTTCGGGTTCTTCTTTAACACTTACCGCAGGTCAAGCATCGGAGCTTCTTCACAAGCGATTGCAGTATGTGACTTGCTGGACCATATGCCACAGCAGCAGCAAATTCCTGCATGGTGACAGAACCTTCCGGACTCTTCGGGATGGATTCCTCGGCTAGCCGTCAAGATGCGAAGCTAGGCACCACAAAGTAGCTATGCCTGCGGAAGTGCTGAAAGCCGTGCTCCACATCAGTCGGCAACACTCGCAACGCATCTGACTGAAGAAGCCGTATGCTCGCATATGACTCACGCTTACGACGAACTCCGTGCAAAAGTCTATGGAAGCCTGATGCTGTCTGCCGTCTCAAGTTTTGCAGGCTTTAGTCTTGCAGCCAAGCCTCGTACAACCGCTTCAGCTCACCTTCCTGCAAGTCATTGAACCCAAGTCTGGCAACGATCTCCTGCAAATGCTCCAGCTTCATGTCCTCAGTGATGCGCATGCCAGGCATCTGTGGCTCCGACTTGACGAAGGTAGCATTGAGGCATCCATCCCGGCAACTAGTCTAACCCTCGTCCTGTTATGGCGGCTAAGTGGCATATTCGTATGCACCATGGCCACCATGGGCTGCAGCATGCCTGAGCCCCCGAACGACAAGCATGCCGGGAGATCGGCGCGAGAAGGAGTGATTCTGCGTTGCCAAGATGCGTCCGGCGAGTGCCGTTTATGACTGCCTCTTGGTAGAAATGGCGAACAAACTCCATGGCTTCATCACTACCACCGTCTGATAACGTGGACAGGTCTTCGAAGGATGACACTCGGAAGGAAGCCATCGTCTTGCTTCTCTTTGCAAAAGCTTTTGCAAAGGTATCCTGCCAGGTCACGGGACTTTCAAACCTCAAGAAAAGGTGAGCGTGACTTGTAGCTGCCTTCCCATCATCGTTGTCATTGTCGTCGCACTGGCATGCCAAAGCTTGTGAGCAGCCCATGCCTTGCAGCTTGCCGATGGGACTCTTTGCTTGATTCAGCATCTTATCACTTAGCAGGCTTAGCGCTTCATCTTGAAATGGTGACGTAGTATGCCCCTTGCCACCCTGCCGTGCACACGCACACGCCACTTCACTGAGAGAGCCAGAAACAGAGAGAGCGCGAGAGAGAGAGAAAGAGAGAGAGAGCGAGAAACACACCGTTGGTCCATATCTCCTGCTCTGCGTCACTTCACTCACCATGATCGTATCATGGCACATCTCTCACGTGTTCTGCCTTCACTCCTTACCTTCTCAGCTTCTTTCGGTCTCGCTTGCCCACTCTTCCCTTCATAACCCATGCATGCACGGAAACAAGGGTTGCCTGATCGCGTCGAGCTTATCGGTTCGCGGCAGCTTGCTGGGACACGATGCCACAACCGGCGAAGGAAAGGACACGCATGTCCGCCACCATTTGAAGACGGCGGCAAGTGGCTTGGCAGTTCCGAACTCGTTGAAAAAGGTCTGTGGTAAGCAACTCGGGCTTGTCATGTTCTTGGTACCAAGCCTTTCCCTACACGACGCAAGTCTCTGACAGAGAAGCTGCAATGTCAAGCAAGCTCAAGCACTTTGACGTCTACAACCCGCTCTAGACGAGTGCTTAACATGCTTGAATTTGCTGACGATAACTTCCAACCAGTGCATCTGCACTAACTCGTTCATCCAAGCCCGCTGCGTGCCCAACAACTTGGGACTTGCAGCCCGTTCAGCATTTTCGGTCGTCGTGTATGCCTCGCTTATGAGCATGGAGTATGGAAATCCAATCGGCCATGGCTCCGAGGGCCAAGCTGCAACATAACCACTCAATGCGAAGAAGGCGCCAACCTGGCCAGTTGTCAGAAGGAGCTCGAGTCTGGCTTCATCCACACGCAAGCCACAAGTAAGTACATCCTGCATGAATGTGCATGACATGAGGCACACCTTTCAACATCAAGCTCCTGAGGAAACGACCACCACGTTGATCTGTGAGATGGCCTCAGGCATGAGTTGCATGCATGACCCAACAGGCAGCATTGTGGACAATCAACATGGGGAGCACGAAGCGCTCGCCAGGCCTTGAACGCGAATTGGCTAGGCGCCGCAAAGGAAATGAAATGCCCGCACCTGGGCCGTGTGTTTTCAAGCTGACGACAGCTGGCCATTCTCCGCGCGAAGTGCAGCGTCATCAATGGGCCAAGTCACACAATGTAGGCAATCAGAAAGAAGCGAATGGCATCAAATGCGGTGATCCGCACCTCCGAAAGGGACTAATGTCTGTGCAGATGTTCAGATGTGACCATCGCGCCTTCTTTGGCTTCGGAGGTGGTGCTTCAGCCTCTGCTTCTGCTTCGGCGGCCCTGATCATTGAAGACCTTATGCGAGAACACGGCAGGTTCCAGCTATGGAAAGCAGGGCCCAAGTGCATGACCGCAAGTCTTTGTTCACTGGTTTCATGACCTCGAAAAAGCAACTGCTTCGTCACACCCGCCCTTTGCAGCACAAACTAGCTGGAATGCGTCTTTCTCATCGTTCCAGCTCGGGGTTGGGCAAGTGCGGCGCCATTGAGAGCAGCAGCTCCAACCGTCGTCACGAATGCGGCCCTGGAAGTAAAACTAACCTGCCACGGCAGCTTCCGCACCCGGCACGGGACCGCAATTTTCATGCAATGCTTGAATTGACAACTGCAATTCTGCTGGCCTCCGGTCCACCGTTGGCTTGGCCGAGTATCTGCGCACCACTCATGTTGCGCGTGCTAAAAACCGTGTGTCTTCTGTGACATCCTGAATCGCGAGCGCCCATTGTGTTGTGATTGCGCATGTGCTGTCTGCCCGACCTGAGGTGTGCGGCTTCGCAGCGTCGTAGCCTCGCCGTTGCTTGGCAAAGAAAAGGTCCTTCAACGCACCATGCTGCACAAATGCTGTTCAGGGCAGCGGTGTCCATCATGCGCCTATTTGCGAGCGAAGTCAAAGCCTGCAAGACTCCAAGTAAGTGTATCCAACAATGGGTCCAAAGATCGATCTCGCTAAGTTCCAAGCCATGGCAGCAACCGCCCAAACACCGCAGTGCAACATCTTTTTGGGCCATGCAGGCCTCTGGAAGCACTCGGGTGCAATGAAGACGTGCTTGCTCAACATGATGCAACGTGGAGCTCAGGCAACAACGTCCATCTTGAGGAGCCCGTGCGAGTCATGGCGCTTCTGAAGCTAGCCAACAATTGGCTTGGCACACGATGGGGCGGGCGGCGAATCGAAACATGGATGCATCCGTGCCACATGTGGCATTGAAGTTGCTGCAAAAACCCGGGTCGCTTGTACCCAACGGTGGGCTGCAGCTTTCCTTTTCGTTTCCAAAACAAGAATCTCCAAATGTGAGGCCGTTGCAAACTTTTTTGTTTTTATTTCACACTTGTTTACGACTGCACAAGGGGAGTCCAAGTCCATGACAGATGTTGACAACATTGACGGCCCGTCGCAAAATCTAAACACCATTCCCCCTGAGCCTGTTGGCCACTGCCAATTTTGTGTGCCTGTACAGACACGATAGTAGATAGCATTGTGCCGTGTTCAGCTGTCAAGCTCTTGCAAGGTACCTCTGGTCCTATTTTGATCGTGGGTAGCGTGCCAAGGCTGCCAGCTTGTGTGCAAGTAAATACGGTAAGTTTGTGCATGTGCTGCCCCTGCATCGAAACGAAGGGCCATTATGTGCAGCCCCGAAACGCTTGCGGGTAGAAACATGTTGGTATTCTCACCGTGCATGACAAATTTACCTGAGCATGACCTAGTTTACCTGAGCTAGTTCGAGAATTCATGGAACCGGATTGGTGATAGTGAAGAACCTGTTGGCCTTTGCGGCAAGAGCACTTGCTCAAACTTATGCGGGCTGCGAATGCTGGTAATGGCATGCATCGCATCACTGTCGGGTATGTGTTTATATTCTTCGTAACAAGCAAAAAAACCTGCAGCGGAATATTCACACTTGTGCAACTTCTAGATGCAACAAATGCTCACGCCAAGCCGGTGCTGAACGACTTAAACGAAAAATCTATTTTTGATGATGAAATGCTGGATGGCGGATGTCCTGCCAACCCGTGCCCTCTTCTCGGTTCGAACTGCAGCCTGCGCTTGTCCTGCTCACCACTGCAAGGTTCCGCACCGGGCCCGGCAGCGACTGCCCCAGTCACCGGACCCGAACACTCCGGCTGGTTGTGGGCGATCTGTTGCCAGAGACTTGTTGCTTGCCAACGGAATCGCTCAAGCATGCTGTGCGAACCGAAACTCGGGATGACCCCCGACTCATCGTGCTCTCCGTTGGCATCTGGGCAGCTTACAACACTGCAGACGCCACGAGACGCTTACTGTAGAACGCTGTGAGGGATGCAGAGCGCGTTTGAGGACACCCCTCGCAGATTTGTAAACGCCACTATATATACGCTAACTCTCGAAGCCTCTGCTGGATGCGGCGCGCTGGGGCCCCCCTCTTCCGGAAGGCTATAACGCCACGAATCGCTTCTACTCCAGGGGGCTCTGGCGTGCATTGGAACCCCCTCCTCCTCTGGAAGACTGTAACACCACTAAACGCTGACTCTAGAGAGCTCTGCTGCGGGATGCGGTCCGCTCTTGGGCTTTCCTCGAACATTACAAACACAACTAAACACCGACTTTAGAGGCCTCTGCGACCCTCTGCGGGATGCGGCGCGTTTCCGTTTGTTTTTTCTTTCGCGGACCTTTGTCCGGCAGCCCAAAGTACCAAACGTCAGTGCCTACCTGGTCCTTTGGAGGCGCTCCTGCCAGAAAACTCAAAACATTGTAGCGCCACTATATGCTGCTGACTCCAAAACACCCTGTCGGATGCAGCGCGTGTCAGACCCGCCCTCCGGAAGTGGGACTGTGACGCGACTAAACCCCGACCTAGTCTAAAGAGCTCTGCTGCGGGATGCGGCGCGCTCTGGGGACTGCTTTCCTCGAAAAAGAGAGCTACTAAACATTGTCTCCAGGTGCTTCTGCGGGATGCAACGCGCATTTATACCACCCCTCCTCCAAAACGTTGTAACGCAACAAAATGCCGCGGACTCTAGAAGATGTGGGATGCGGCGCGCGTGTTAGACCCACCTCCGGAAGACTGTGACACGACTAACCGCTGACTCTATAGAAGGCTCTGCGCAATGCGGCGCGGGTTTCGGAGCGATCCCCTCCGGTGGAAGACGGTAAACGCGACTCAACGCTGACTCTACAGAGCTTTGCGGGATGCGACGCGATTGGATTCCAGAAGGCTTTGCGGGATGCGGTGCGCGTTCGGGACCGCCCCGCTTGGAAGCGCCACGAAATGCCACACGGCGACCGCACAGACATGCCTACAGGCCAAGCGTTGGCGGCATTGCCACCCATCCTCTGCGGTTCATGATTCACGACCCGTGCCGCTCCCGGATGCTCACAGCATGTCTTCTCGATCGCGCTGCGGAGCCGGAGCCTCACTTTTCGTCGGTATCCCTTTTTTCATTTGTTCGTATTGTTTTACGACTGCTTGAACAAAGTCCAGGTCCCGGTGCAAGCAACGTCTTTTCCCCCTAAATGGTTGGCGGGTGTCTGCAGCCAGCGTATGTCGGTGAGGTGCTTGTGCAACACAGGCAAGTCCCCAGCACCTTTGCGGCCGACAGGAGCTCGAGGAGAAAAACCGCACAGGGCGGCTGTAATGGCTTTACAGGAACAAAGCACTCCAGCGGTGCGTCCATGCATCGCTGCACAAAGCGGCCGGCGCAATGGCGGCGCATGTCCTAGTCCGCAGCTGGCAGAAAATGATGGCTCCAAGCAACTCCTGTTCGTAGGCCGTCTGTCCTGTTGAAGCTGCGCCTCGAGCTCCTCCACAAGGTCATCGAAGAACCCACCAGGATCAAGAGCGGGACGCGCAGGCGGTTGTTCAGGGACACCGCGTGCCAAAAGCCGTTCCTCGCACCTGTCTTGAGGGAGCTGGAGCTCCAAACGCAAATGAGCAGTTTGAGCACACGTCCAAAGCAGGTGAGCACGAGAGGGACGAAGGAGTCCACAAAGACATTTCCACCTCACATGGTCCGGTGCAAACTGGCCCCCGGTGTCGTAGTGCCCGTAGTGCCAGCAGCTGTTGCCTGACCCAAAAGCAGCGAGATCAGTGCCTCGAAGTCCCAAGCGCATGGCCTCGTCCAAACCATCGAAGTGGCAGTCGAGAGTGAAGCTGGGTGGAGGGAGGTTGAGCCCAGACGCCAGCCCCTCGCCGTCACGGTGGTAACGCTGACGTCTTCGCCACGCAGCTTGTCGGTAGTGCTGTCGCAGCCACTCGAAGAGCACCCGGAAGCCGTCGAAGAAAGGACGCAGGACACGAAGTCGCCCCGCCCCACCGCGGCGCCGGAGTTCAGTGGCATCAGGCTGCATGTTCCAGCGCAGGCGCTGCAGAAGAGGAGGCGCCTCGGGGATAATTAATGGCCTGCCACTGACAATTGAGCGTCACTCAAAGGAACGTGGTCCAACCAGCTCGGAGGCGGGATGCAAGCCTTCCACAAAATACGAAGCACTCACCATTGAAGCAAGCCCTACCCCCGAGGATTTCGAGGGCCTCAGCCTCCTTGAAACCAAGTTCACGAGCAAGTGCCCGCGAGGCGGGGTCGGGAAACCTAGCCGTCAAGGAGCGTTTTTCAAGCGAAAGACAAAACCCAAAAGCACGGTCGAAAACGGCATAGCGACTCGGAGCCACTCTGAGGGCATCGAGCTCCTGAGCATCATGCAACCAGAGGGTCCTGTCATCCACAAAGGCGCTTCCAGAGACTTTGCCCTGAACCGGGCCGGGTGCTGCTAAAGGACCGCCGCACGTGGGCAATGGCAGCCGAAAGTGTGGGCGACAAAGGGCACCCCTGAGGAATGCCAGTCGTCGTCATCAGCCACTCGCTGCTTGTGGCGCCTGACAAACTGAAAATTCGTTCGGAATGTGAGTAAAGATTGCACAACAGGTCAAGCAGTCGAGGCGGAAAGCGGAGGTGCTCCAAAGTCCGCCGTAGGGTCACGTGATTGATGGAGTCGAAATAAGCAGAAACATCCATCTGCAAGAAGTGCGAGGCCTTTTTGCGAAACGCATGCTGAATCTGCATCAGTGCATCCTGCACCGACGTATTGCCAATGCCACCTTGGTCGCACCAGGTCTCGACCCACGGTCGCAGTTGAGCATGGAGGCAGCGCGCTCCAGCACGCCACACGGCATTGAGCAAAGTGATGGGCCGCGTACGCTGCCTGGGCTTCCAAAGGAGCGCCACCTTGGCCTTGCGCCAAGCAGCAGGCACACTCGACCAAACTCCAAAATGCGCGTCCACAGTAGCGGCGCCCATCGGTACCAGGCATGAGGCAGGCGCAACAGATCACGAGGATGCCAAGAATCCGCACCGCCAACTTTGGACTTCATGGCGCGCATCGACTCCCACAAGTCAGCAGCGGTGATCTCGAAGTCAATGTGTTGCTCCACGAGACGGGGAACACTCACGAAAACAGCATCAAGAAGCTGACCGTCAGGAGCAAAAGCGCGTTGCCACTGCTCAGCCCAGATCTTGGCTTGCTCCTGGACCGCGATGGCAGGATGCCACCCAGCAGGCGTGGAAGCCGTCCGGAGGATCGCGCTCCAACTCGAGCATCTCATCGGCTCTCCCGCTTAACGAAAGATCTGACAACTGCATCGTTGCACGAAGTGCGCTGCTTCCAGTGCTCCAGCTGAACAGCACGCTCCTCCTGAGTACGGGATGTGATGAGCTCCTCGACTGAAGCAACAGCGTCCTTAACACCACACTGCAAGAAGGGCGGCTCAGGCACCAAAGTGCGCACATGAGCACAAGCAGCCGAGGCCCGCCGAAGCAACGGTTGATCCCAAGGCCTGTGCACACACGCACACACACACACACACACACACACCTGCAGCTTACGAAGCAGCCGCCGTATATCGGCTTCCCTTTGCCGGAACTTACGAGGTACCCGAGCAGCAGGGACCCAAGCAGCACTCCTAGGAACTTCACGGATAGACCTAGCGGGAG